TTTTTTTTTTTTTGATTCAAGTTGACATGTTTAGAAAATCCGCAAAATTATTTGTACATTTATTCAGCAGTTAATTTAACAGTATTTATTTAAAATGTATTACCTGCAACATAAATTCTTTTTCACTATCATTGTTGTACTCAATCCAGTTAAACTCTTCAACTGTTGGCCGGTAATCCTTGATAAATCCGTCCCACAAAAATTGTCCCACAAGTGCGCTTTTGCCAACCTATTAGTACTAGTGTTGTACAGTAAGATATCGGTATATTAAATAGCAGTACAACTTTAAACAGAACTAACCGTTTTGAAGTGAAAAAAAAAATTTGTTAGAAGTGTTGAAGAAAAATTCCTACTCTGGAGGCCCCAAGGACAGCCAAAGTGAATTCGTTGTTTTTCGCTTGACCCGGATTCGATTGCGCGCGATTACGATGATGTTTCGGTGCTTTTATGCCATGATTAGTAACAGTTTCTTGCTCTATTTCGTGCTTTTTTTCATTTTCCTCATTACTTAATTGGTTATTTTTCGCGTCCTCAACACTTTTACTGGAAAAAGTTCCTTTGAAAATTTTTTTAGTACTATTATTTAAGAATTAAAAAGACACTGCTTAAGAATCTCCTTGCAAGATGAAAGAGGCTGAGGTAGATAAACTGATAAACTTTTGCTGTGATTGAAACGAGCTAAATATAGTTTGTGATATAAGCCTATACGTAAATAGGTAAATAAAGAGGTAGACAGGTAGGAAGCGGATAGATATTACTTGTTGTCTTTCTTTCCTTGCTCTTTCAATTCCTCTTCGCAGACAACTCTGCATTTAGTAGATCTTACTAATGTTTCTTGATAAAAATGTTATTTTGCCAAACTTACCACTTTTAATGAGAATAGTGTATAACTGGAAAGTTATGCATCACTGCTTGTTAATTAAAATAAAATAGGTTTACCGAGTGTTATAAAATACTGAAAGTTTTATCTGACAGAAAAATAGAAAATGACAGAAGACCAATGCTTTTAAGTTGATATTTGCTTTTTATTTGTTTATTTTTTTGCAACACAAGAAAGCTGAGTGTATTTTTGAGATGAATACTTCTAAATTTAATTTACTTCATTGGTGCGTTAGAGTGAATTGCTGATCCAAAAGCTGACGATTTTGATAATTTCGCATGGTTCAACAATCTTTTTTTTTTTTCTGTTATCAAGCGTACCAACTTTTGTTGCTGTCGGCAAGATGACACGAATACACTCAACAAATATTTGGATATGTAACACTATAGATTTTGAATAATAAACAGACACTTTATAAACTGGAAGTGAGGTCCTACCTTGTAGCATAAAACAAGTTTTGCGCCACAGTTCTCAAGACGTTTTCAATTAATTTTGAAAGATAACTCTACTAACTGTTAAAAAATTGAGAATTTTTGCTGAAATTTTTTATCTGGTGAAAGCTGACGCAAGAAGATTCACAAATTTTAGAATAATTTCCTGAAGTAGTTTTTAAATACAATGGTTCAAGTTGGAGACTTTTGTTGGTCGTGAGCTTAAAGTATAATAATCTGATCAAAAACAGTTTCTAACAAAAGGTTTTGGGAGAGTTCTGAGAGATTTTTTTGAATAAGTCTACTATGATAAAAAAGGCCGACTTAGTTTTTACTTTATACAAAAAGTAAACGTAATGTTCCTATAAATAAACAGATTCAATACTATGCATTTAATGTAAAAGGTGTAAAAGAACAGCTTTTGATTTTTTCTGGTGCCATTCTTCAAAGGCATAAAATTTTTGCGTGCAGAAAAAACGTTCAATGAAATCTACTTTTGAGCAGATTATTATATATTTTCAGCACCGCAACGGGTTGGAACCCGTTGCGGCGTTGACAGTATATAATAATCTACTCAAACTCAGCGTTTCTTAATTTATTTATTTAAGTCAAGGTTTCTAAAGTTTATGTGCCTTCACGTCTACAATCATTTTTGGAAGAACAGAAACAATGTAGAGAGAAATTTTCAACTTTTTGTAAGCAATAAAAATTTGTTTTAAATCAATTTGGGAAGGTATCAATAACTTTGTTAACTTATTAAATCCTTTATACCCACTTGTTTAACGCATTCAGCTAAAGCCTTAGTTTTAGCCTAAACTACTTATACTCACTGAATATGACACTCAGTTATAACATACAGAGTTTTGTGACTTATGCGTTAGGCACTCATAACTCTGATTTTTTTTTCTAAAGCAAACATCAAGAACAAAAAGCATTTCCTAAAAAAGAGCAAAAAAAAACGACAATTTTTTTTCTAAATAAATACAAATAAGTAAACTCAGATTTAAAAAAAAAAAAAAAGCAAACGAAAAGTTGGTAATCAAAATAGAAAAAACAAAAAAAAAGAGAAAGACGAGAAGAGAACTGAGACGTACAAGCTTATAAGTAACATGATTACTGCTACCTATCAACGATTCTTTTTGTTC